TTCTTAATCAATGCCACTTATCAAGACAATTGCTAGAAGTCTCAGAGTAGAGATAGTCATATGTTGCATTTTAAAGTAGAACCTTAGTTTCATTACTAGACATATTTTAGCACAAATTATATTAGTAGGAGATGAAACCAATGTGATGAACATTTGCATTTCCCATAAAAATTAGTAAAATAATCATGGTGAGTATGTCAGTAACAATTAAAATGCATTGATGGCATACGCTTATTGGATTAAGAAAATGCACTAAAATATGCAGATAAATTTCCTACACAGAAGTAATGAAATCAGAAAAATAGTCATAAAGGTTCATATAATTTGAGAGATGAAAAATACTTGGACATTGAACAAGGGAAAACAAAACAAATATTTAACAATTGCCATGGTAGATGTGCTAACAGCCACAGAATTAAGAGTACTTTATATTTTGTGTTGTATTACTTGTGAAGTTTACAGTCAGGGATTCCCTGATGTCCCAATATGTAGTTTGGAGATTTGCTAACCTTCAAAAAGTGAGCAATATGTTTGCTAGGTATTGATTGAATAGCTTTGTGTTGAAAGTTAACAAACCTAGTTAAATTTGGAGGAGTGTGGACATTGTAAAGACAAAGTTCTGCACTGCCTCAACTGGCTGTGAAGGGCACATCCATGTATCATCCCTATGATTGCAAACTGACTATCTTACCCTTTCTCTTGGTTTAACAATCATACATATAGAATTTTCTTATACCACATCATTTAGAAGAATCAATCCAAAGGCTTAAACTCTGCTGGTCCAGGTTTTTATTCAGCAGATAGAGTGAGTGAGCGAGCAGCAGGAAGAGATGAGGCTAACACACCTTGCCTAACTGCAGGCACACTGAAAGAGTCCTTACCCAGCTCCCCTGCCTCCCTTTCTAAGAGACATCTCAGGACATTTCCTTATTAAAATTTTTGTCAGAACCTAGAGTAATGCAAATGCTGCATTGATAACCGTTTAACAGATTCTAAAAATTATATCCGCAATCTCTTTTCAAAGATTATCTCATGAAACAGTCTGTCTTGTGTCATATGGGCCACTTTGAGATTTACTGTCTCAGCAAGATGCTGTGATTTATAGCAAGTCTGGAAGAAAGAGTCATCTCTAATTAGAGGCCCATCTGGCTGAGTTTGCTGTGCTTTTGGAAAACAACCAGTCTTGCTAAGCACATTTTAGACATACCTGATGGAGTTGACCATGTCATTGGTGAGAGGGTCGAATATCTTGAAAACATTGGCAAATTCTCTATTACCGTCCTCTCTTCACTCACTACCCTTCAGTAACTGCTTTTGACCTTGTTCTCTATGCTTAAAACACTCTTTACCCCCGCCAATCTCAGGGAGCTCTCTTGTAATTCTTGTAGGTATAACTCAAGTGTCATTTTTTTGAGAAACAAAAATACCCCTGATCTTGCTAAAAGCAACCAATTCCCTTGTTTGTAATACCATTTTTACTCACGATATACTATTTTATACACTCCAATATTATCATACTTTTCTGCATTTACCACTTATTTTTCTTCAGTCCCTCAGATTGAGTTGTTTACTATATACCCCAAGCACCCAGAAGAGAGCTGAGCACATGATAGGTGTTCCTTGTTTACTGAGCGATTATGCATGCTGAAATAACTTCCAAGGATACAAGTACCCTTATCAAGTGATACAATGAAATATTGACTTAGCAATCTGAGACAGTTCATAGATTTAGAGAGATGCTCTTGTAGTATTCTAATTAACTTTTCACCAGTATGACCAAAATACCCAACATATACAATTTAAAGGAGAGAAGATTTATTTTGGCTCAAGGTTTTAGAGGTTTAAGTCCATTGTTGACTGCTCCACTGCTTTAGTCCCAAGGCATGGTGAAAGGGTCTAGTGAGGGGAAGCCTCTAGCTCAAGATCACCAGGAAGAGGGTAGAGTGGGTAGGGGGAGGAAAGGGACAAAATACAGTCCTCAAGGACACATCTGCAATGACCCCATTGCTTTTGCAGTTTTGGCTTGGTAGTAAATTCTTTGAATTTCTCTTTCTCTGCTTACATTGCCCATCTGTTTTCATATGTAGTCTATTTTTTTCTTTTAGAACTGTGCATGCCGCAGTCTGGCTGGGCACAAAATCACGAGCCACTCAAGCAGGAACAAAGTTTATTTTTTGAAACTGCCGCCAATCTCCGGTACCGCCCGGGAAGAAGATTTTTTCCACCCACGCGGCCTCCTCTCGGACGCCGAGCGAGCTCCTCCCCCGGAACTCCCTCCTACTGTACTTCCCCAACCAATGGGAACTCTCCAGGAGTCCCGTAGCCAGCCTAGGTGAACAGCAGGAGTCCAATATCCATATGAATGCAAATCTTAACATAATCATATCATCTCAATGGCTAGCTGGCGTCACCTTTCAACCAAAAATGCCATGCATCATATACTTGGCTCTTAGCATGTGCACATATTCATCAGAGTTATTTTAAATTCCCTGTCTGATCATTTAAACATCTATGTCGGAGTCTGATTTTGATGCTTCCTTTTCTCTGGAGGCTGCCTTTTTACGGGTCTTTGGCATGCCTTCCATTTTTTTTTTTTTTTTTGGTTAGAACTCATGCTATATTCTGCAGTAGAAACTGAGATAAATATGACTTTGGCATGAGATTTGAAGTTAATATGGCTGTGAGTTAGGTTATATTTAATATCTGCTGTAGCTGCAGGCGTCAGAGTCTTCCTATTTTTTTAGCATCCTTATTTTTTTCCTCCGTACTTGGCTCTCAGGTTTCCTAGCCACTTCTCTTCAGGGAGAATCTCATCAAGTAGCTCTTTCATCTGTACTCCACTGTTATTATGTTCCAGACAATGTTGTTGTGGTGGTAAGGTAGAGGAGAGGGGAAGCATTCTATAATCTTATAATTAAATATCAGATTTTTAATTGGAATGTGTCCCTAAGCTGTGACCTTCCAAGAGTTTCTTAATCCTACCCATCCCTATTTAAATGAGCCAGGAGAGCTAGTGGGGCCCCAAAAGGGGGAGACATCCACCCCTGGGTGGATAAGGTTTTCTTGAAGCTGTTTCTCTTAGATAGTGGGGATTTGTTAAGGAGGAGGTCCTAGGTTTGCTCTCTGGGATTACTTCTCCCTTTTCCCTCACAGGGATTTGTCATGAGAAACTGGCAGAGTCCCTGTTAGTGAAACCCAAGACTATGGCCCCCAGGAGGTTTCATATGCTTGCTAATCCACACTCAGCCTCCAGCAATTTCTCAACATGATTATCATACTTTGTACTGAGTTATGGCTTCAGCAAATTTAGCTCAAGGAAATTGAGTACTGACACACATAACAAGATGAGGGAATCTCACAAACATTTAGTGCAAGAAGCCAGATACAGACACCTTGGGGAGATACTTTATAGTTTTATTTAAAATTTCAAGAATAGGCAAAATTCATATGTGGGTCACAAGTGAGAATAATGGCTATATTTGTGGAGTGATGTTTTGTGTATAATAGTGTGCATGTTGTAGCTCAATTTACATCTTAAAGTGATGTTAATTTAACCAAATCAACCATGGATGTGAGTCTGAGATAAAAGGCAGGCTGGTTCAAGGTGTGATTTACTCATTAGGATTAGGGCAGGGAGAGAGAGGGTCTGGGAAAAAGTGTCAAAAAAGAGAAGGTGTGCATGACATCACCTCTAAGTAACCAGGAAAGCCAAGTATGTTTGACAAAAGACAGAATGGGGAAAGACTAGAATAGATTTTAAGTACTGCTTCAAGGTCAGGAATTTTATGGGTCAAGATTAGGACAGAGAATATCTTGCTAAAAGGAATGGTTGCTAGTCAGTTTCTAGAGACCATTGTGTTTCTTGTATGTCAGGCACATTTTGTTGATATTCCACCTCCTCAAAAAGATGGATATTGATGTCATTACAGCATAGTTTTAATTTGTGAAATAAATATTCCCACACTTTAATTCAAATGAGGGGGAAATGTTTCTTTAGTTGAAATATGTACCATTGTATATTACTTCTGGTAAACTCATGCCAGTCTTTTTTACCTCTGTATCTCTTGTGCCTGGCACATGGTGACTTGGCATATGAGAAGCAAGTGATAGAGAGTGTTTTTTTTTTTTTTTAATAAATCATCAGGTTAATAAATAAACTGAGGCTATGTTATAAAAGTAAGTTATGAATTTTCAAGCAGATAGACTTGAAGCACAATCTGGTCTTGATGTTGATATATATGAAAGGGTATAGGGGTATGTGATTATAAAAAAGCATTTGTTTGGGAACCTACAGGTAAGAGAGGATTGCAGGAGCTTAGTGTTTCCAATATTGAGCTGAAGGGTATGAAGCCAGCAAGGTAGGGGGGAGAAAGACAATGAAGGAAAACAGATATCACACTAAGGGCCTGGGATTTTTATCTTATTGGAATAGATCATAGGAACTATCCGGGGCTTAAGGAGAAGCTTATGTCCAGGTTTGCAGCTAGACACAGGGTTCTGGTAGAACTGTGTTCAGTGGAAGAGAGAGATAAGAGAGATCATTGCTAATCTTTTCTTTTCAACATAACTTTCATCAAGGACTTTTGAGATCTCTCAAGTACAGGGATTAGAAGTCTCCAGACTTCTGAACTACTGGAGGTATAAATAAAACCTTCCCCCTACCGTCAGGTAAAAAAAAGTTCAGTTGAGGATCACCTGTCCTACCCGCTTGAGTTTGTTGGAATGAAACAATGAAAACAAATCCATGAACCAGATTCTTAATTTCACTGAATCTCATTTATTATAGTTTGAATCGAATATATTCTTCCCACACCTGAGCAACATTGGATAGCATTGTAAGCTGAATTTCTTTGTAAAGGTAAGATGGAAAACAAGATTAAAAGTTGAAAGAAGCTCACATTCGATTAGGCACAGTGAAAACAAGAAAAAAGCAGCAAAAGTCCATGGAATTTGAATTTTCGTCCTGGATCTTCGCATGAATCTTCATTGGAAGGAGGATGCTACAGGCCTCCTTGGGCCGAGCAAGATGGACGGCAAGTGCTGAACACGTGGGGCAGAGTCTGGCAACTGCTGGAGTGAGGCTGCAGAGGTCTGAAGCTGCTGGACACAATGTTCACTGCTTGAGGATTGTAGGTCAAACACCCCGTGGGTCGGTACCCGTAAGGGAGGAGGTTCAGGGGTCGGCCGCTGTTGGGCAAACAGGTCAGGGGGCGATAGCCACTGGACACACAGCCCGTGGGCTGGAAACTAGTGATCAGGGGAGTCGTTGGACGACAGTGGCTGGATACATAGCTCAGAGGCCTATAGGATGCTGGGAGGCAGGAGCTGGAGAGGAAGGAAGAGGTTGGCAGAAAACCAGATCCTTGGCAGGGCCTGGGCACGTAGTAAGCCGTGGAAGAGCAGCTGGAGGTCTCGCAGTTGGCAGGCTGGCAGCTGTTCGTCTCCCCAGAGGTCTCCTGGCAGTTGCCTGGGAACCAGGCCTGGTTTTGACAGACCCCAGGTACACAGAGCACATCTCCACAGCTCACATTTGTAGAGCAGAGGGCAACAGGGGCGTTGAGAGGAACATGGCAGGAATTTCTGAGACACCCTGAGCTGTAGTTTCCGGAGCAGGAGTTTTGGCAAGACATGGTGAGGGTTGGAGAGCAGGCTGTGGTTGGAGGAAGGCAGCAAGTGTCTGCAGTTGCATTCTGACCCTGCCTTGGTTGTCCCTTTATATATCCCTGGAGAGTGGAGGTTCTGTGTACAGACTCTTCCTCCTGGTCCTATGAGACTGCATCAGAGCTTTTTATTACAGTCCAGGAAGTGGGGCTCCCACTTCCCATAAAACTGAATGTTCCCTGCAAAGCCTTCCATTGATTAAGTATATCTATAAACCAGTGTGACTGAACTTTAATAGGATCTCTCCTTAAACTGTCCAACCAGAGCAGACACTTTGGAAGGCTATGACCTTTTTCCAGTTATAATCAACCCAACAGTATACAAACATTTTTAGAATTCCTCCCTTGAAATTGTCTTTAAAAGTTGTAGCAAACTTCTTTGAATATTGGCAAATTTTGTCTTCGAAGAGAAATTCTGTTCTTTGTAGAAATTGTCAGAATAACTTGAAATCAAGACTTGCAAACGTGAAACCCTTATAACCTATGTGGCAGAATTTAAACTAATAAAATGTAAAAAAAAAATGTTCAATGTGTTTTGTTTCCTTTCAAAATCCTAATAAAATTGATTTCTTATCAAAATATCTTTATTCAGAAAATCTGTGCTCATTCATTTCAATGAATAAATGAGTAAAATCAAAAGCTAGGTTCTTACCTAAGGAATTTTTATATATAGGTAGCAAAGTTGAGTTCAGTTAAAATTTTGGACTTCAGTGTGACACAAGTGAATAAATGAAACCCCCTTAAAGAAATTGAACAAAATAACAGTTTTCATGATTATTGTAGGATTAGGTATTATACGGTTATCCATATTATGACCTAAAACCATCATTCTTGGTTTTAAAACTAATGTACATGGATTGAGACAGGGAAATGCTTCATTTCCTGCATTGGTTCTGATACCAATTTCTCAAAGGAATTTCTAAATGTCATTAAATAGACAATGGCATCAGAATAAATGTATGGTTTTTCTAAGTTTGAGGACTTTGGAGGCTATGTGGACTATATATTTCTGTAAAAAACTGTTTAATCATTTAAAAAATTCATAAATGTGGTTTGTTTCAAGTGTAGACACTCTATCTTTTACATACTAACATCTCTAGCAACTTCAGTGGCTATCTTAATGGGAATTTAATTTATCTTCAAATCTAAATTCTAATTTCCTTTGGCTAAAACTTTAATTTAAATTGCAAAACTTTTTCTCTATTCAATGTTCAATGGAAATGGTCACACTTATCAAGTTTCCCTCAGTCCAGGAGAATAGAAAATTAGAAAAAGAAGTTTGGTTTCTCTCCGAGGCAATACAGGTCTATTTTACTATCAGGGTTAGAAATATGAAAATAATACAATACAGTCTCTGAGATCCTGCACTGTCCTATTGATATTATTTCTGAATTTTAGGTTGGAGGCCTTTACTCTTCAATGATTTGAATGTGCTGTGAAGGAGCCCTAGTCACCCCAACACCCTAGGGCACCATCACCTGATTCTTGCACATGGTTGCTAGAGTCTTCTTGAGAAATCCTTGATTCATCAGCTGAATGGCGTCAGTAATAGGTACAGCCATATTTAGCTGAATGCTTATCAACTTTATTTGTTGATGCTCTTTATGTCTGCTCTTCTCTCATATAAGCAGGAGTCAAACACCTGCATCATTAGCACATCAGTGTCAGTGGATGTATGCATAAGAACTTTATAAGTTTTACGTATACATGAGTGTTTTCTTCCTGAAGAGAAGGAGGGTGGAGAAAGGGGAAACACATTTCTTTTCTCTGTGATACACCTTTTGGTATCCATATGAGTAGTGTCACTTCACCCTTGTAATTCTACGTGGCAAGTTTTACTATTTCAAGTACTGGTAATAAAACTTGAGATTTAGAAAGTTACATTAATAAATATGAAGATAAGCATTACAGCAAAGACTCTTCATCTCCCCAAACATTTTTGTCCCACTACCCAATTTGGGCATTATGTAGAGATGGACTCACCTTCATTTAGTGCCTTCATGAACCTGGATAATTTTATGATTGTTCTTATCCCTAGTCCTTATTACTGTAATTTTATATACATATGCTACACACACTCACACACACACACACACACAAAATACCTAAAATTTTTAGAAAATAGAATGTTCTGAATGAATTCTCAGAGCATTACAAAATAAAGGTATGTTAATGAACAACAGCCTTCCATTCATTCATTCAGAAAACACTCACTGAGCATCTTGTACATGTGAAATATCGTGATAGAACCTGGCAATGATACTAAGGCAAAACTGGTTTCTTCTCCCAGATGCTTTCTGTCTTCTTAGGGGTGCTATGACAGGTACACATAAATGTTGGCAAGTTCTGTATGTGATGTACAGAGAAGGGCAAATGTAGCTCAATGACTTAAGGTAGAAGTTGGCGTTTGGTATTAATTTTGAAAGATGGAAGGTAATGGCATGGATTTGGGGCAAGAGGGAGACATTTTAGGCTATGGAAAAAGATTAAAAAAAAAAACAAAAAAAAAAAATGACAACACGATGCTTTTTATGGAGGGTTCTTAGTGGCAAGTTATAGTTACTAAACCTCCACTCACTCGCCAAATCTCTCTGGGTCATCAAGGAAGCAGGGTGATGTTTTAAAGGCATTTGTTCCAGTAGCTGATTTCAAGGAGCGTGGAGAATATTCTGTGGCCTAGATTGGAAAGTGAGAAATTTTATTATAATGCTTTTCTTCTTCAGCCTTCTAAAGTTAGAGTCTTTTCACCCATTTCTCTTTGTTATGGCTGCTATTATTCAAATTGGGTTTGGTCCCCATTGGTTAATTTCTTACTGCCATCTTTGACTTCTCTCCTTATAGTCTTTTGTTTTGCCTGAGCACTATATTTAAAATATAGGTCTAAAATTAATTTCATCCTTTGACTCTCTTACTCAAGACACTGAGGAATTCCTTTAGTCAACAGGGAATTGACCAGATACTTGATTACCATCCACTGCCTTGTTCTCCTCTTCAAGTCTCACATTGTACCATCGCCATCTATTTGGTGTATCATCTCCTTGCTTATCCTACTCTTCCTCTCCTCAGAAACAATTTTAAACTTTTTATCTATTGTTCAGATCTCAAGTAAATCAGCTCTTTATTTTTAAATACTTCCTAGCCCATTCCTGCCAAGCTAAATGTCTCAAGCCTTTAACTATGTATAATTATCACCACTTAATTCTTCCTCACAAACTTGAGTGTGCATGTTCTCTCTCTCTCTCTCTCTCTCTGTCTCTCACACACACTTTTGCCTTAGAAGCAGTATGTATCTTATTTTCCAATTGTATTACAGTACTCCTTTTACATGCTATCTACTCAATGCTCATTATCCTCACTATAAACCAGTCAGTAGTCTTCAGGCTTCAAGTCTCTTAGTGGATTGAATCCTCACCCCAAGCCCTGTTTGAGTATATGTGATCATTATTATCAATATATCTGAGGAAGCTTAGTCTTTGATTAGTAAATATTTTCTAACATTTATCAAATAAAAATTGACTTTTACTATATCAATAATCTCTTTGATAAACTTTTCAATTTTTCTGTGTTCACCTGGAAAAGTCAACTTCTAAGGTATATGAGAGAAGAAGAGGATAAGAGGAAGGGCAAGGCACTTTAAATCCTTTATCAAGTTTTTCTCCAAGTTACTCTAATATGTCTGATTAATAGCCACCTTAGCTTGGATTAGAAAAGACAGCCAAGTGTATGGTGTCAATTTCCTTGTACTCTACAACTTAATAAAGTGACGTAAGTGTAGCACCCCCTTGAGGTTGGATGTCATGTGCAAAATCACTGAATCATCATCTATGCATCCAAGTATTTCAGTGATTCCCTATCAGCAATGTAGGCCTCTGGGTGGATGATTAGGCTATCAAGCAGTAATTCACTGTTAAATAAATTTTTACTGTGTTATAGCATTATTGAGTGTGGAAACTATAGTCTATACATGACTTGAAAAACATTTGCTCCTGTCATTCCTGTTTCCTTAACGCTCAAAACCTTTCTCCAGATGATGCTAGAAATACTGTTTTATGTTAATTAACACACCATTTCATACTTGTATCAAAGACAGTAAAGTTGGAGGTATCCTTCTTACTATTCAAAGCTAAGTACTTTAATTGTGCTCCTTTCATCTTCAAAAGGACATTCAAAATTTATTTCTTTTGCATATATGTTTATAATTTAATTATGACTTTTATTAATTTTCCTCAGTTTTTTAAGACAAAACTGTGAAATAAAAATGGCACATGTTTAAGGTGTATAGTATGATGTTCTGATACATATACATGGTGAAATAATTATCACAATCAAACTAACATTTTCATCAGCTCACATAGTTACCATTTATTTCTTTTTTGGTGAGAACACTTACTATCTATTCTCTTTGCAAATTTGAAATATCCAAAGTAGTATTAACTACCATTACCATGATGTATGTTAGATCACCAGAACTTACTAGTCCTGCATCAGTGAAACTTTGCAAGGTTTGGCTGACATCTCCCTACTCCGACTCACTAGCTTTTGGAGAACCCATTCTAGTCTTTGCTTCCATAAGAGTGACATTTTTAGATTTCACCTATAAATGATTTTGTGGACTATCCATGTGACCAGCTTGTTTCACTGAATGCAATGTCCTTCAGGTTCAACCACATCCATTTGTCAAAATGGCAAGGATTTCTTTCCTTTTTAAAGGCTGAATAGCATGTTCGTACAGATATTGCCTCAAGTTACTTATTTCATTTTCTTCGGTTATACACCCCAGAATGAGATATGTGAACCATATGATAGTTCTCTTTCTAATTTTTAAAGAAATTTCTGGAATGTTTTCCGTAAAGACTGTGCAATTTACCTTTTTGCCAAAATTGTCCACTGTTTCACATTGCTCTTCATCCTCACCAGGTTTACCTTATTTTTTTGGTAATAGCTATACTAGAGGCTGTGAAGTAATATCA